GGGAATTCGAAGTCCTATAGAGTGTAAAAAATGACGAGATGAATGTCCAGCATGCCCTAGTTAATGGTGGAGGATCTGGGAGGAGCTCACCACTGCCCTCCTCCATCCTCTTCAATCAGAGAGATGATGGGGTCCAGGGACCCCAATGAGGAGGCGTGAGTGACAAACCTCAGAGCAGAGGCCCAGAGGAAGCAGAAAGAGAGACTTGCCTTTGGAACCCCCTAGTGTTGTGGTATGTAACCATGCTGCTCCCCAGTGCGGGGCTTCAGTTGTAACGGTGGGCCAGGTCCAGACCTTTCTGAAAGAGCTCTGCAACACTCCAGTTAAAAAGAGCACAGTAAAACCAGTCAAACTTGAGACTGAAAGTGGTGGATTGTAGCTGCCCATCCAAGAAAAAAGCACAGGGAGCAGAGAAGGTTCCTCTGTCTAGCAAACCTAAGTAACCTGCCTGGCTCCACCCAGCAGCACATTAACCCATCCAGCAGAGACACTACATCCTTAAAGGACCAAGCTGAGATAGCACGTTCTGTGAGGAAGTAGCCCTGCCTAGCAGCCGAGTGGCCTGTCCATAACCTCCACCAGTGTCCTATCCCACACTGAACATCACCTTCCAGAGTCATGAGTTACCTTGACTTCATGTGTTGCCTTTACATACGTCTCATTACCATTATATACCAAGTTTGTTCCCGCTTTTTCCTCCTACCCCCACTCCTGGATTCTGTGTATATTTGTGGAAGAGTATGTCCCAGGGGAAGAGGAAAATGTGTCTTTTTTTTTAATTTAAAAATTTTTTTTGTAATCAATCAATTTATTTTTAGTTTTCAACATTCACTTCCATAAGATTTTGAGTTTTGAACTTTCTCCCTCACCCTCACCTCCCCCCTTCCCGAGACAGAGTGCAATCTGATATAGGCTCTACTTATACATTCATATTAAACATATTTTCACATTAGTCATGATGTAAAGAAGAATTAGAACTAATAGGAGGAACCACAAGAAAGAAGAAACAAAACAAAACAACAAAAGAAAAGGAGAGCAAATAGTATGCTTCCATCTGCATTCAGACTCCAAAGTTCTTTCTAGGGATGTCGATAGAATTTAAATGTGTCATTTCTAAGATCTAAATGAGACACCATCTGATTGTTAATGGAAAAAACACTGATTGGGGATCATGAATTGCAGTGTTAACTCCTAGAATTCATCCCTCTGGGGCCTTAACCTGCCAGTACAAGTGCGAGTTATGAAAGTGATCTCTGAGGGGATGCTACATCCAGAAAAGAGAAGAAAGATATTCAGAAGGGACACAGGGCAGTTTTGTTACTATGATGTTAAATTTAATATACACTTTTTTAAAAAGCATGAGAGAAAGGGACAAAAAGGGAAAGATACAACTAGGAAGGTCATTCAGACACAATGAACTTCAGGCCGTGGGCAGGAAGAAACATTAAGGTCAATGACGTTCAGTTGGAGAGGCCAGCCTTGGACTTGGCATAACCTGGTTTTGCCAAACTTTCTGCTTCTCTCCCTAGTCCATAAGTAGAATCCTACATACCAGAGTAAGCAAGAGCCATGGATTTTATAGGGAAGAGATGAATTCTTGTTCAAATACGTCTTTTTGGTTTCCTATCTTTGAAGTCACAGACATGGAGACGCTAGGCATGGGCTACCTGTGCCATGAGAGGTGCCCGTTATACAAGTATAAGGTATGGACACTAGAAAAGTGCAGGAAGGAGCAGAGGCAGACCACTGCCAGTAAACCCTCTGGGTCTGAGATAAGCCACCAAAACCATAGACGCCTACCTGTACCCTGTGAGGGACTGTCTGATGTTGGCAGCTACCGGGTTGGGTGCTGTGGCTAGAGTAGGGTAAGATCTGGGTATTTTGGAAGTCGAGGCAGGGGCTGTGGTAGGCAGAGTCGTGGTGAACTGGGATGGGCTGGATACAGAGAAGCCTTGAGGCAGTGGGCAGTGCTTTGTGAGATAAGCTGGGTGCAAGGAAGTAGCAGGAGCTTGAGCTCCTGAGGCAAGGGGCAGTGCCACGTGGGAGTGGGATGGCAGAGGACTGAGTTCCCTTTGCTTAGTCCCCTCCCTATATGCAACGTCATCCCCAGATGCCTCTTGTGACCTTCCTGACTTCCTGGGTCCCTTTGTGCAGCACTGACACAGACCCCTCCTCCCAGTGTCTGAGTCTGACTTCCTAGGTCACGTACTCTTGTCTATGCGCCAATACCAGATGCCTCCTCCCTGTATCCGGTCCTAGCCTCCTACGTCACTCCCTCCCCCTTGGTGTGCTAAACTCAGACAGCCCCTTCCGGTATCTGACCCTACAATCATTGGCTAGTAAGCGGGCTGGGGAGGAGGGGCTAGGTAGGTTTTTAGAATCAAGCGTGGTCAGATCACACGCGCTCTCTCCTGGCTCCTGCCCTGTTGCTCTGGCCTTGCTGCTTGGGCTTGCTATGATGGCTTGCTGTGTTGGCCTCTGAATAAAGCTCTGGTGTTGGCGCCTCCCGATGGCTCGTCTCTGTGTGGTTATCCGGCAGAGGACCAAAGACTCGAGTGTGAGTAAGACTCTGGTAGTATGCTCCTTATAGGAGGATTGGGTACCGACGTGCAGCCGGCAGAAGGTCGGCGTGCGGCCTGTACAGTACCCCAAGTTGAAAAAAAAAAGTCTGTAACAAATACAGTTAATCAAAACAAAAAACCACTTTGGCCAGTTCTGAAAACATATTATCTCATTCTGCATCTTGGGATTATCACTCTCTGTACTGAGGAGAATAGCATGCTTTATCATAGGTATTCTGGAATCATGGTTGGTCATTGATCATAGTTCTTAGTCTTTCAAAAATTAGTTTTCTATCTCCTTCCAGAACCTCCATTTGAGGAAGGCACCCAGGCCAATCATCTCTTTATTTCTCACCAAGCTGCAATCTAGACTCCTCCCTGATGCTGCCAGACCTGGTACCTTCCCTCCCTTTTCCCCTTTTCAACCTCCTTTAATGTGCTATCTTCCCACATTAGAAAGTAATCTCTTTGAGGGCAGGGTCTGTCTTTCTTTTTGCTCATATTTGTATGCCTGGCACTTAATAAATGCATGTTGACAATAGGACTATAAATTGTTCTCCTGGTTATACTCACTTAACTCTGTATGATTCATATAAATCTTCCTGAGTTTCTCTGAAACCATCTCTTTCATCATTTAAAGTACAATAATATTCCATTACCTTTATAAGTCATAATTTGTTCAGCCATTACCCAACTGGTATGCACTCCCTTAGTGTCCAGTTCTTTACCAGTACAGAAAGAACTATTGTAAATATTTTCTATACATATGGATCCTTTTCTTTTTTCTTTGTTCTCTTTGGGACACTGGCCTAGTAGTGATATCCCTAGGTTAAAGGATCTCCACAGCTTAGTAACTTTGGGGCATAGTTCCAAATTTTTTTCCAGAATGGGCAGACCAACTCAACTCTGCTAAGAGTGCAATATTTACCCATAACAGAATTTATTGTTTACTATTGCCAGGCACTGTTTATTCCATGGGTATACAATGTATCAAACAATCCGTACTTGGAAGAAGCTTAAGTTCTAATAAGGGGAGACAAGTACAAAAATCAATATACACATAATAAATACAAAAAAGTAGAAAGTAGTTAAGTAAAAGGTAGTTTGGGAGGGATACCAGCAAGTAGGATCAGGACAGGATGGTATCAACTTTAAAGGAGGAGAGATAGAAGAAGCATATAAAAAGGGCAGGGGAGAGTGATGAGAACACCAGCTCATCCATAAAGCCTTATGTTTTAGGAGTTATGAGAGAAAAAAAGGCACTGGGTTTGGAGAGGATGCCAAGAGATGCAGCATCTTTAAGAGACTGCTAGTGTTCTTAACAAGTCCCAGGAAAGGCAAGGAATATGAGAAGAGATTTAGGATCATAGATTCAGAGCTAGAAGGGGATATAACAGTCATCTAGTTCAACCCTCTCATTTTACATGTGAGAAAACCGAGGTCAATAAAGGTGGTATAAGTTGCTCAAAGACATAGGTAGCAAGTGAAAGGAAATAGGATTTGAATCCAAAGCCCCTGGCTCTAAATCCAGGGATCTTTCTACAAGATCACAACATAAGAGAGTAATTCAGAAGGGAACATGAGGCAAGTTGGTTATTTGCTTGTTAAATTTAATATACACTTTAAAAAGAACACTCCCAGTTTCATATATGCTTGTGATGGCAAGGCTGATGATTAAATGAGAAAACATTTGGAGAATTGTAAAGTACAATAAAAGCATTGGTTACTATGATTGATTTCATCTTATGCCTTTATCTGTAATATGTTTAAACACCCCTCCCCCCATTTGATTGCAGGGTCTTTAAGAGTACAGAAATTTAAAAAATTCATTTTTGTACACCCAGTGCCTAGTACAGTGTTTTACAAACATATGTTGAATATTGTTCAGTGAAAGAATAATTTGAGTCTGTTAAAAACATTTTAGGGGACTAGCTCCCCATAGTGTAAAGTGCAAAGGCCTAAGAATCCGAGAGCCTGTGTTCAAATCTTACCTAAGACTGCAATCTCAGGAAAGTTTCTTAACCTCCCTGGGCCTCAGTTTCCTTATCTGTAAAATGAGGCGGTTGACCTAGATAGCCTTTGTGGTCCCTTCCAGGTTTAGATCTAAGGTCAATCAGTAAACATATGCAAATATTCCACACTCAAAGGCCACCTCTTCTGCAAATAAAATGGGCTAGTGCACTTTCCTAACTCAGAAAGTTTTGAGCCCTGGAGGCCTAAGGGAAGGGAGTCCCAGCACGCAAGCATTTGGCGCGAAAAGCCTCACTCGATGGGCGGGGCTCCGGAGGAGGCAACTTCTCATTGGCTCGGCTTGGCGCGAAAACCGCGGACTCCGGGCCCGCGATTGGCTCAGGCAACCTCGTCGGAGAGACGGCGGGGAAGACGCCTTTTCTCTCCGGGGCCGCGGAAGCTGCGCGTGGCTGGTTAGGGGAGGCTCGAGCACCGGCGGCCCAGACTTCCCGGGCCATGGACCTAGTGGCGGCGGCGGAGACGGGGGCGGCGACCCCGCACGTGGAGGTCCGCGATGAGGTGGCGGAGAAGTGCCAGAAGCTGTTCCTGGATTTCCTGGAAGAGTGAGTGGGGTCTTGGCGGAGGGGGAGGGGAGGGAGGTATGGGGGAGGGGGCTTCCCCTGCCCCGCTGCGGCCTTTCTTCCCTCCTCCACCCCGCGGCTCGTGCCCTGGGGGTCCTGATCCTCCCCCTCCCCGACTGCCCCGGGGTCAGGGTGCGCCACCCCCTCCCCCCACAGCCCCGGAGGTCTGGATGCTCCACCCCCCCTTGCTCCGGGGTCGGGGTGCTCGGTCCCCCCCAATTCCCCCGGGTCAGCGTGCTAGCCCACTCAATCCCATCCCCATTCTCCCTTTCCCCACTTTGCCCGTTAATACTTCCTCAGGTACCCCAAGCCCCTACTCCGGGAGTGGTTGGGAAGAAAGCGCTTTGCACACTTGAGGTAAAGCACTCCCCCCCCCCGGGAGTTGTTGTTCCAGAACCCGGGAGCATCCTTGCTGCCTCCTGTCCCCTAGGTGCACCCAAGGCTGCAGGATCTCTCGGGCTGCCCGCCCCCGGCCCGGGTTTTTGCCTTCTCTAGGGTCGGGTCCGGGCACCGGCAGGGCCTAGGAGCGGCGGCTTGGCCTCTCGCAGACCTAGTTAAGAGCCGGGTGTCGGCTGGGAAAGACCCGGTCAAGAAGAGGTTTCCGGGTTTTTTTGTTTTCGTTTTTTCGCATGTTATGTCTTTCGTGCTAGGTGGTGCCCTGGTCTGTCTTGTCTGAGAACTTCCTAGCGCTGTGACCCTAGGCAAGTCACTGCCTAAGAATCCTCATCAGCCAAGTGGGGATAGCAAGAGTACCTACTTCCCCTGGTTATTGTGAGGATTCATTGAGATAATATTTGTAAAGCATTTTGCAAGCATTAAAGTGCTATATAACGGCCGTTGTTAGTATGAGGATAAGGATGATGATCCTTGAAGGCGAGATCCCAGTTTTTTGCTTTTCATTGTGTCCCACTCTTGACAGTACCTGGTCACGTAGATTGTAAGCTTCGGGGCTGGGATTTAAACCCAGGACTTTTAAATGCGAATCAGGCCCTCTTTCCACCAGGCCATTTCCATCAAACTCCACTTGTGATCCACCTAACTCAGTATTCAAGGATTTCGCTGGCCATTCCAAGCTATATGGCACCTGATGGACTTAGCAGTTTCTGCTTTGGATAGACTGTAGAGTTGAGCCTTTTGTACTTGAACATTTTGCCTTTGTGCCTCAATGTGATGATTTTTTTCTAAAAGTTATATTAACAGATGGATGTTTCTGATGCTCTTTCACCTTAAGCTTAGAGATTTTTTGTCTATTTATTCCTTAAGAGCAATCTCTTATAGACAGCTATCTGTGCAGGAAAGAGCCCTGGTCTTGAAGTTGGAAGACTTAGGCTTGAGTCCCAGTTCTACTATTCACTGTCTTTATGGCAGGTGTGTCCCTTAACCTCTCTGGAGTTCTTTGTAAAATGGAAATGATACATTTAAGCCTATGAAAGCCATTTGTGAACTACGAAGCACCCACAAATGTGTGTTGCTGTTGAGTCAACAGAACCTGTATGTTAAGTACAAATGATTGCTCCTTCAATTATTCAATGAAGTATATTTTGTTTTGTAGAACAGAGAAGAAAAATGCATAAATTTAAAAAAAACCCTTAAATTATTATGACCTTTCTGCTTTGTGTTATAAAACTGGCAAATTTTTTATTCATCTTTGCATATATTATGAATCTCCCATTTCTCTTCCCTACCACAAGTTGTCAAGGATGCTTTTGTTAGTGAGCATGTTTATTTTTACCTTGGTTCTTGGACCAGCATTTAAAATATCCTTTACATTTGTGTAAATCAGCTTAAGTAAGCCCCTTTGCAAAATTTGGGCTTCTGGAGTTTGTTTTTTTTCCTCACCTTAAGAAGAATACATATTTGTATTGTAATGTCTGGTACACAAAGTTTTTTCCCTCTCCTAGCCTTTTGTCATTTGGCTTCTGAGCTTCAACTTCTTCATCCATAAATGGGAATAATAATACTCACACTACTTAATTTCCAGGACACTACACACACACTTGCACACATATTTTGTGTGTGTCTGTGTGTATCTGTTATTAATAGTGCTTCATGCCCACCTATTTAATCTGATCTGGTCTTAATGTTTCTTACAGATTCCAGAGTAGTGATGGAGAAGTAAAATACTTGCAGCTGGCCGAAGAGTTGATTCGTCCTGAGAGAAACACATTGGTTGTGAGTTTTTTGGATCTGGAGGAATTTAATCAGCAGCTTTCCACCACTGTTCAAGAGGAGTTCTACAGGTATGATATCTTACTAAAAACCCACAGAGGTTGATTGAGGACAGAAGCCAGAAAACCAGCCAGTCTGTTAGACTCAGACCTGTAGAACCTCAGAGCCAGATGAGACCTTTTAAGTCAGTCTAAACTCTTCATTTTACAGAGAGGTCTTGGTCGGAAGGTGTTCTGTTAGCAAGGTGCTTGTGACTGGAAACATATACCTCTCATGAGCCACTAAAAAGAAGGGAGCCCCTAAGAGTACTGCACTGAAACAAACATATCTCACACCTGTTTGCGCATGCGTTTTCTCATGGTCATGAATCATTCTGTGGTCTACCAAAGCTTCTGTCTTGTTTAGAGTTGTTCAAATTTTATATGACAGTTTGTTCTATTTTGGGTATTGAACACTAATGTAATATTTACTTTGTCCCCTCACGAAGGTCCCCAGAGAACTGTATATGGGGCAATATATATATGTTCTAGGTAGTCCACAGGATATTTCTTCTGTCTTTAGAATAAATCAGTTTAAAATGAACATCCAGGGCAACCCTGAAGAAGAAAAAAGTCTCAGAAGGGAAGAGAGTGGGAGTGAAGTCCCATGCTATTGGTAATGGGAAAGCAGCCTGAACACCTAGCCACCTAGGAGGAACAGCGGATAATGTTGGACTTGGAGTTAGGAAGATCTTAGTTCAAATCCTGTCTCAGAACCTTGCTAGCTATGTAGCCCTGGACAATTCATTTAACCTCTAAGCCTCTCTTTATCTGTAAAATGGGGATAATAATAGCACCTACCAGAGGAAACCAGAAGTTGAGATTAGGAAGGAAAGCATTCATTCCACTAAAAGTGTAGATTAATAATAGCTAACACATACATAGTACTTACTATGTGCCAGGTACTCTATGGAGTACCTTATAATTATTATATCATTTGCAAAACTTGAAAGTATTATAAAAATGCTAGCTAAATGGTTCTAATGTGGAGTCCATGAACTTTTTTTCTTAATATTTTGTAACTTTTTTTCTTAATATTTTGTAACTATATTTCATTATAATTGGTTTCATTTGTAATTCTGTGTATTTTATTTTATACATTTAAAAACATTCTGAGAAGCTGTCCATAGGCTTCACTGGAGTGCCAGAGGGGTCCGGGTCCATGACAAACAATGGTTAGAAGCCCTGCCTATGACATCTTTTAGCATCATCTGACTGAGTTACTTTCCCAGGCTTTTATACTCTTACCCCACACTCACCTGAGTTACTTTAGTCGGGGCTACCAGTTGCACTATTGGGAACATCAGTGCAAAATGTGCAAACAATATTAAAGGTTAAAGCTATAGCTGATAGAATATTGAACTTGGAGTCAGGAGGACCCAAGTTCAAATTCCACTTCTGACAACAGCAGTGACCATGTGCAAGTCATGTAACCTTATCTGTAAAATGGGAATCCTATCTGTAGTATGCATCTTACGAGGGCTATTGTGAGGTTCAGATGAGATGGAGGAGTTTACATTTGGAAAGAATTTCATCATCTAGTCTAACCAATCCTGAAGAAAGACACAACATACCTGATAAGTGGTCATCTAGCTTCTACTTAAAAGTTACTGTGAGAGAGTACCAGCAGTCTTCTGAGGCAGTCTGTTCCATCTGTCGAGAGCTCTAGTTGTCAGGAGGTTTTTCCTGACATCCAGCTCAGATTTGCCTTTTTGCAGCTTCTCCCCATTGCTTTTAGTTCTTCCCTCCAAGGACAAGAAGCCTGATCCTTCCTTTCACATGACAGCCCTTCATATACTCAAGGCCGCCTTTCATATTCCTCTTCCTAGTCTTCTCTGAAGAGAAGACTATTTCTAGGCTGAACATCTCCAGGCCCTTTAGCTGTTCCTCACAGAGCATTGACTTGAGGCCCTTTGCCATTCTGGTTGCTTCCTAGTTTATCATCATCCTTCTTAAACTGTGGTGCCCAGACCCGAATTCTAAAAGTATGGTCACTGTCACCTCTTTGTTCCTGGAAACTATTTCTCTCTTAACACTGCCTAAGAACAGAGTGGTTTGGTTTTGTTTTGTTTTGGGCTGCCATATCACATAATTGATTCATTGAGCTTGTATTCCACTAACATCCCCCCTTTTTGTACAAAGTGCTCTCTAGTTTTCCCCATCTTGTATTTGTGAAATTGACTTTTTTAAAAGGTCAAGCATAAGACTTTAGATAAATCCTTATTAAATTTTACCTACAAGTTTTATCCCAACATTTTAGTTTATTAATAATCATTTTGACAGTGACGGTCACCCTGTGTTATTTATTCTTCCCTACTTTGTGTCATATGCAAATTTGATGATGGTGCTTTATCCAAAGTTACTGAGAAGGAAAAAAAAAACAACTCAGCCGTGGCCTAAGCAAAGATCCGTGGGGCATTCCACTGAAGACCTTCCAAGTTGACATTTGATCCATTCATGCCTACTTTGGGTCTGAGTCCATCTGAATGTACTAGCAAATGTCTAACCTGCCTCTCTCCAACTTTCCCACCAGAAGAGCATGAGATAAGTCTTTATATAATGAAGTATCTCTGATAAGGGTCTGATATCCAAAATATGTAGGCAACTAACATATATAAGACCAAAAGCCATTCCCCAATAGACTGGTGGTCAAAGGATATAAACAAATAAATCTTCACAGAAGAATTGTAAACTCAACAACCATTTAAATGAATACTCCAAATTGCTAATAATAAGATAAATGAAAATTAAAACTCAAACCCCAGCAAAAAAGGAGAAAATGAATAATGTGAAATACCTAATCAATGTTCTGTTGAAACCTTGGTACATTATATCTTGAGAATTCCTCTGAATAATCCTTTCCAAAAAACATAGGATGTTAGTCTAATATAGCCTGTTCTTAATGAAGCCAACTTAGATCTTTGTGATAATGCCTGTAAAGTGCTTTTCATACTTTCAAGTGCCCTATAAATTTAATTGTTAATGACTTTGTAGTAAGAATGATGGTAGTAGCAGAAGTATCACGAAAACCAAGCTATGGCTATAAGGCTTGGTCATTGATGTTTGTCTAGATTAGTGGTTCTTAACCTGATGTCTGTGAACTTGTTTCCTTTAATATTTTGATTGCTGTATTTTAATAGAATTGGTTTCCTTTGGAATCCTATTTATTTTATTCATTTAAAATCTTTGTTCTCAAAAGGGGTCCTTAGGCTTGACCAAGTTTCCCAAGGGGTTCCTGACACAAAAAGGATCCCTGATCTGGAGAAATGTTCTGCTCAGTTGCTAAGTTGCCTGAGATTGTTCACAGACTGAAAATTCTTGGTTGGTTCTTCTGATAAGCATGAAGAGAACTTGTTACACATACATAGATTATGCACTGGTTTTCTGTGTTTCAGAGTTTATCCCTACTTGTGCCGGGCATTGAAAAACTTCGTTAAAGATCGTAAAGAAATTCCTCTTGCCAAAGATTTTTATGTTGCATTCCAAGACCTCCCTACCAGACACAAGTAAGAAGCCAGGACATATTTTCATTTGTTTTTTCTTTTTTTTTTTTCTCCCAAATCTCAATATTATTATTATCGTTGTCATAATTATTATTCTTGTTGTTGTTATTTTGGTTTTTGAAAAATTCACACAGAAGCAAAGTCAATTATTATAAAATCATATAAATAAAGTATATATTATATATACAATTTTATAAAATTATTATAAAAAATTCAGTTAGCATTTTAATTTTAACAGTCATTTCAGATGCAATAAATTCTTAACTCTAAAGGGAGCAAGCATCTCTTCCTACATACCCATCAGAATGGGGACAATTGTGGCTGCCACAAAACTAGCATACATAATAGTCCAAATAATTACAAAATGAAGAATATATGCATGTAATTGTTGAAAAAAGACAGGTATTCTTGCAAATAGGAAAGCTCGGAAAATGAAAGAGCAATTTGCAAAGTATATATTACATTACATATATAAAAAGTTACTTAAATTGCTGATAAAAACGACATCTTCAGTTCGTATTTTGTGTGATACTTTTAGTGTCTACACAGATAGATCTCTTTAAAAATTAGATAACATTTACTAAATATTTAAGCAATAACAGTGCATTAAGTATTTTTTTAATATATTAATACATATAATTCTTTTGTAATGATACTATAGAAGAGTATGTATGGCCTTATGTACAGTACATAAAAATCCTACAATAATTATTTTTGCTTAATGATATTTGTGGATCATTCCTAAAGCTTATAAAGGAAATCTAAGCTTCTATGTTTTACATAAAGTGTTACATATATTTAAATACCTCAAGGGTCTTTTCTGAATGCTGTTTCTGAATTCTCACCCTTCAAGAAGATATCATAGGTATAGTGCAGGCAGGATTTGTAATATTTGTACAATTCTTCCTTCGTCATATGGTTTTTGCTAGATACATTTACTCAAAGTCGACAATGGCTAATTTGCTTCCTCTTCCTTCCTCCTTTCCCTCTCTCTCTCTCCCTCCCTCACTCTTAACAGAATCACATCATCTTAGAAAGGTGTCTAGTGATCTGTTGTTTTATTAAAGGAACTGGGCCATAAACAAATAAATAAGCTAATGTCATTTCTGCTTAACTTCAAAGTGTAAAATGCTTTTGTGAAGACAGAGAGGTTATGCAGAAGACCAAAACTCTTAAATATTAAGTCATTTTTTTAAAAGTCACACAGATGCAAAAATATACTTACTATTAGTACATGGTTTTTGCAAGTTGCTGCATTATTTATCTTTCTACAAAGGTAATTCCAACCTGTCAGCTCTGACATGAGGATTACCTAGTCTTTACTCATATACTTTAGAATTCTGGAACACTTTTCATCTGGATATACATATATCTTATTGTAAAACCAAAGAGAAAGCTGTTCTAAGAACATTTATGATTCCTTTGTTTTTTCTTTGGAATAAAAGAAATCTATCAAATAGCAACTTATTAGTTACTAAATGGTGTGCGTGTTGCTCATTTAAGACAGTCTATCCTAGAGCATTTTGAACAGTCACTGTCCTTGTTATAATGGTAGAATATGTAAATGCACATAATGGAATTAGTGCTGGACACTAGCAGAAAGATAATGTGTATGTGTGCTTGCATTTTGTCTTTTATGTAAGTTGAGTTTTAAAATTACTCTTCTTAGAGCTGTGGAGAAAAGCTATTTTTTTAAAGGGCAGAATGTAAATTCAAGAGAAAGCAAATTTTCATTTTTCATGTAACAGGTACTAGCATCCTGGAATTTGAAAAAGACTTTGATACTAATAAGTCAAGTGAGAGGAGATGAAAAGAATGATGACAACCTCAAAAATCAGTGACAAGATTTATCTGAGTTAACGGAGCTGATAATGGGCAAGACTCTGAAATAGTTTCATTTTGCAAAGGAATTTGAGGGTTATGTTGAGTGGGTAGAAATTGAGATGTACCTATAAAATCAGTCAAACATCAGGCATTTATTAAGAGCCTACTATGTATCAGGAACACTAGGTGCTGGGGTGTCAGAGGAGTGAACAAATGTGAAGAATGACACAATCCCTTCTCTCAACTGGATATTGTTATTTCCAAACTTGAAAAGTTTCAAAATTAATTTATTCTCTATCACAGATATAAAATATTCTAATTTGCTTCCCTTTTGCATTGAAGTAAAGGATGATTCTTAGTAGTTTGTGACTTAGGGGATGAAGGTAGAGGGAGGAATGGACTGGAGAAAGTTGCATTAATGTTTTTCGTGAGCTTAGTTGGGAAATTCTATTTGGGCAGTGAGGGTCTGCTGATAAAACATTTCTCCTTTTACAGAATTCGGGAGCTGACTTCATCCAGAATTGGTTCGCTCACAAGGATCAGTGGGCAGGTAGTCCGAACCCACCCAGTGCACCCAGAGCTTGTAAGCGGCACTTTCTTTTGCCTAGACTGTCAGACGGTGATCAAGGACGTGGAACAGCAGTTCAAATACACACAGCCCAACATCTGCCGAAATCCAGTGTGTGCCAACAGGAGAAGGTTCCTGCTGGATACGAACAAATCGAGATTTGTTGACTTTCAAAAGGTATTATTTGTGTTTGGTTCCATCATGTGTCAGTAACTCCTAGATACCTTAAAAAAATTTTTTTTGGAGAGGGGTGTTTACTAAGTTCATTTTACCCATTAAGTTACCATTTGCAAGTTTGATAAACCCTAGGTTAGTGGGTTTTTTATATATATATTTAAGGGTGGACCTGTGATTTTGATGATATGGGAGAATTGCCGTATGGTAATTACCTCCACTAATACACATCCGCTACTTTTCTGTGATTCATAGGCTAAGAGAATTAAGTCCTAAGTGAGGTCACACAGCTCGTGTGTGTCACAGGGAGAACTTGACTTTAGGTCTTCTGATTCCAAGGCTAATCCTCTACTCACCATCCCAGACTGTTGGGGTGTTCAAGGAGGGCTAGCACCTCCGGGCCACTCACTTACCTTGAGTGTCTGCCTGTCAACCAACTCTCACTTTCGGCTCCAGGTTGCTATAGCACGTGTAGCGGCTACACCCCGATGAAACTGTCTCAGCAGGTGGGCTAAGCCAGGTTGAAGGTAGCCAACAGACAGGCTTTAAACCCGTTGGCGAGCTAGAGGGATGCCTACCCCAAGCAAGCGAAGACTTCTGGAGGAATGGGCAATTGAGAACAATTTGTTCCAGAGGCCATGAAGGCAGTCAAAACAAGTGCTGTGGAGGGCTTAGAGCTTGATAATACACTGGAGACGCCAACATCGTCCACTGCGTTCCAGGCTGCTGCCAGTCATCCTGATTTTTGTCTTGCTACTGGACTTCAATGACTGAAAAGAGAGTGAGGCTGATGACTTTGTGCAACTCTGCCTCACTTAAATCCAGTTCATGCACAAGTCAAGACATCACCTGTGATGTCCCAAAGACGAAGGACAAACCAACAACCCCAGACCATTTTTCTGTCTAGTAATTTAAACCTCAATTATTTGGATTGTTAAGGGGTTTTTTGTTAAACCTCAGGGTTGTTCGTTTTTTAATTTTTGAAACTATTTTAATATATTAAAGTATTAACTAGGATTAATTTAGAATGGCAGACCATAATACCTCTTCTTTGTTGAAAAGAATAATAGCTATTATGATCATTTTCTAAGCTTGTATATCAGGGAATTCATAAGATTTAGAGCTTGGTATAATTATTAATTCATGAGAATGTGAAATCTGATTTCTTATGAATGGTCAGACAGAAAAGTTTAGAAAAGTATTGTGACAGGTATTAACCTTTTCTGCAAAGGAGTTAGGTCTGCTGTTCTAGTTAATCCAGGCCAATACCCCGAATTTTATATCATTCAGCAGTAAATATTTAATTCTTAGTTAAATTCCCTTTGCTTACAGTCTGCAGTCAGTCAATCAAGAAGCATTTTAAAGTTTCTGTTTTATTATAAGGAATTTAATAATGAATTTACCTAGTACAGAATGCTTTTTTTTACATCCTTGTGAAGTAGGTAATACAAATATTATTATTCCATTTTCCACTGAGAGATTAGTTTTAAGAATAAGTTAAGTAACTTGCTGGTAGTCAGTGGCCTGGCACTTGTCGGACCAGGGCTTGAAAACAGATTTTCTCATTCCTAATCCAGGACCCCTTCATCAGGCTACACCAATGTATTTCACAGATGAACCTCAGTGTCAGCTTAATAGTGTTGGAACATAGGCACTTAAAGAAAAATTCCTACTGATAGAGGGGAATAATGGTTAAATCATTCCTAAACTAGCCGAAACAAATATTTATTTCTTTTAATTTAGAATACATTATAGATTGATAGATTTTCTTTGGTTCCGCATTAAAACTAGTTGGTATTTCTTGAAGAGCACACGGTGTCTGGTAGTTGTGCAAGGTGGGCCAGAAGTGTGCAAATTATTAGCAAAGAGGACATGAACTTAGAATTAAACAATTAACTGCAAATTGATAATCCACAAAGTAAAAAATATAAAGAGGAACAATTAAGAGTCGGATATACTTAAGAGGATTAAAATCAAATGTTCCAGGGCAGCTAGGTGGTGCAGTGGATAGAGCACCGGCCCTGAAGTCAGGAGGACCTGAGTTCAAATGCGACCTCAGACCAAACACTTGACACTTACTAGCTGTGTGACCCTGGGCAAGTCACTTAACCCCAATTGCCTAATAAAAATAAAAAATCAAATGTTCCTTTGGGGTAAGTTTCTCCTCTCAGCAGTCATATAGTTTACTGGTAATAATTGGTGGGAAGGACCAAAACTTGTAGGGTTGGACTCCTAAATTTTGGTTTCTTGGCATATTCCTCTGGCTGCTGCTCTTTAGAGTAGAACAAATAAATTTGATTTCTTGCCTTTTTTTTTTTTTCCATATTCTTTATCAGTCACGCTTTGATTCCATTCAGTTGTATGATCAGAACATAATTCATTCTTTTTCCCCTTAATTGCACTAGTTCCTTATCGTTATCAGTTTGGTGGCAATCAGCTTGGATTCCTCAATGCCTAAATTTTTATCAATAAAAGGTGCCCCAATTTCCTTTTGATTTGTTAATGAATTAATAACCAGGTAAAATACCTTTACAGTTTCTAAATGCCTGAGTTTTTGTCCTTATGAAGGCAAATTTTCCATGTTTACATAATTTTTCTCAGCTTATTCTAATCATTTCTTGGGGCTGATTCATCATATTTGACATTATACAAATGATTTTTTTTAAATTAAAGGTTTCCTACGCACAAGGTTTCCTACGCATTTCTCAATGAAAGAGTGAGGTGACATTTCATTATTTTGATTTATTTTTGGAGACTTTTGGGTCTCCTTGACTCACCTAGGCCAGAAGTGCTTTGGGCACTCAAGGGCTTGACCCCACTGCTGACTGACCTGGAAGTTTTGACCTGCTCCATTTCCAACAGGAGGCAGTTCACCCATCCTTAGGCAGCCTGGTGGTGCTCCCCTCCTTCTCACCTTCCACCCACAGACTCCCCATATAGACTTAGTTAGGTCACATGATCAGCTTTAGACCTGTTGCTAACCAGGACCCCTGAACTCATGCGATCCCTCAGCCTCAGCCTCCCCTAGTAGCAGGAATTGGTGTGTGGCACCATGCCTGGCCAAATGCCAGAGTTTAGAAAGAAGGTTTTCTACAAAGTGGAATTTAAAAGTCATCTCTTTTTATGTTAACACAAACCAATTTTTTGTCCTCATGTAGGTTCGTATTCAGGAGACGCAGGCAGAGCTCCCGAGGGGAAGCATTCCCCGCAGCTTGGAGGTCATCTTGAGAGCTGAAGCTGTGGAATCAGCACAGGCTGGTGACAAGTGTGACTTCACAGGCACTCTGATTGTTGTCCCAGATGTTGCTAAGCTTAGCACGCCAGGTATGTGATTCCCATTAATGGGATGTTGGTTTCTCTGGATGTTTCTCACTCGTGTCAGTAAGTCAGTCATCAGTAATCATTTATTAAGTGCCTACTGTGTTCTAGCCACTGTTCTAAGTGATGAGAATGTAGAGAGAGACAAAAGACAGTCCCTGCCCTTGAGGTGCTCATAATCCAATCTAATTGCTTGCATGTAGCTCTAAATTTTCCAGTTTTCCAGTAGGTTATACAGTTACCTCTTTTCTTCTTATCTCTTGCCTTTTCATTAAAGGGTTGCTAGGAAAAGGGGATGATGCTTAAACAGTCAGTGTTTTAGAGGTCAGAGGTTGAAACTATCAACCAAAGAGATTTTGGAGATCGATAGATGCTACTTATTTGGGTAGCTCTCATTCCTTGATTAGTTGAGTTAAGCTGCAGATTGTAGAGGGTTAGTTGTGGTAAGAGCTGTCTTAAAGGTCACTTACCTTTTTCTTCCAGGAGCGCGTGCAGAGACAGATTCCCGTGTCAGTGGAGTTGATGGATATGAAACAGAAGGTGTCAGAGGGCTCCGGGCTCTTGGTGTAAGAGATCTCTCTTATAAGCTGGTTTTCCTTGCCTGCTATGTTGCACCAACCAATCCAAGGGTGAGTTGTATTTTTTTTTTTTTTTTTAGAAGAACAACACTGAATTGTTCCTTAGAGAAGGGTCCAAGACCCTCGACCCTTTCTGTGTATGGAGGTATTATTTGCCTAGCTCATATTAAGGGGTTTTTTTTGGTTGTTTGTTTTTGTCTTTCTTTGAATCCCCAGTGCTTAGCACAGTCCTTGGCATATATTGGATACTTATAAATGCTTGCTTACTTACCATGACTCAAAGTGGCATTTCTCTGATTTCCTTTAATTGTTAATCTTTGATTAGCATAAATCACATATTTCCCTTTAATCTTCTTCTTTCCTTATTTTTTTTGTACCCTCCCATTCTGTGATTTAGCTGTATAAAAACATTGCCCAGTAGGCAGGTTTTTGGAAAGTTTGGTCCACAATGTCCACAGGTCAGGCCTGTTTCTCCCCCATCACTTCACTTTGATTTCTGCTTTTGCCTTTGTCTCCTGTATTTTCAGAAAGAAATCATTTCATTGCTGTATTTGTTCACCTTTCTTGTTTTTCTGTTGTCTGGGGTATTTGAGAAAGGAACACTTCTTTTTTATTGAATATCCATCATTTTTCATTAATGTTTAGGCTTAAGTTTGCAGGACTTATTTTGGGTTCTGTCTTGTTTTCTTTTGTTCTTCAGAATATATCCTGTTCTTTTTGTTATTCAAACTTCTTTCTTATATTTATATTTGAAAGTTTTTCTATTGGTCACTTGCAGAAATTCTTGTTTGTCTTTTAAGTTTAAGTGCTGTACCTTGGAGTTTGCAGTACAGGACTTTTGTTCTACAGGTGACCTGTGAATTCTTTTGATTGGCACTTTGTTGTCTGTGATTGGAAGTTCCCCAGTGGTTTGACGTGGATTGTTTTTTTTGTTTGTTTGTTTTTTGTTTTTTTGTTTTAGGCAATTGGGGTTAAGTGACTTGCCCGGTCACACAGCTCTTAAGTGTTAAATGTTTTGGTCTGAGGCCAGATTTGAACTCTGGTCCTCCTGACTTCAGGGCCAGTGCTCTATCCTAGCTGCCCCTCGAGTGTTTTCTTGATACTATTTCTTGTATCATGAGAGTCAGATTTTTTGACTTGTGTTCTTCTGGGAGATCTGTCATCCTTAAGTTGTCTTTCAGGGTTTTGTCTTGGACATAAGTATGATTTGTTTGTATGAAGATCATTTTCTTTTAGCTATATTGCTTTTTATTTTATTTTTATTTTTTTTTTGCTTTTCTTCTTCCAGATAGTCTTTCATTTTGTGTATTTGTGTTCCCAATTAGTAACTGGTTCTCTGGCTCTATTGTGGGACAGAGAGCTGTAACAGTCAACAGGCTACTATTGAGTCTTTAGCAAATTTCTGCCATTTGGAGTTTGGCATGTTGAGGCACTGGTAGTAGGCTGGGAGTTGGGGTCTAAAGTTGATAGGCCGGTAGTAGGCAAGGAAGATCTGAGATCATTGTTAGGGGTTAGAGATTAAAATCTTCTCTGTTGTTCGTTCATTGTGTTTTTACCTTGTTTGGGTTCTTGGTGTCTTAGCCTGGAGAAAGCTGAAATTGCTTTGTCTCTTGAACGTAATTCCTATTTTGGAGAGATTTGAGAGGTTGGTGAGAATTGGAGAAAATATCTAGTCTTTCATTTTGTTGGAGTTGAGAGTTTAATGTAACCTGAAAGTCCACATTTATCTTTCCAATACAGTTTGTATTATGCACTTTATAAGTTATGTGCATGTATGTGTGTACATGTTGTATTCCCCAATAGAATGTAAGTTTCTTAGGGGCAGGGAATATTTTGCTTCTTTCTGTATCCCTAGAGCCTAGGACATAATAGACATTTATTAAATGTATGTTAATTGGCTGTTATTTATCTGTGGTTTGTTTTCGTTTTTGTTTTTTTATGGAACTTCACAGCTTCCAGATTCCTGCTTTCACTTTCCAGCTGAGGGCTTTTTGTTTTTTGGCTAAGCAAGTGATGTTCCTTCTCCCTGTCTTCCTTATGCTCCCATCACATATCATATTGGGTTGTCATTACACTAACACTTGATTTAAAAAATTTTTTTTTTTAAGTTTGGTGGAAAAGAGCTCCGAGATGAGGAACAAACAGCTGAGAGCATTAAGAACCAAATGTCTGTAAAGGAGTGGGAGAAAGTGTTTGAAATGAGTCAAGATAAAAACCTTTACCATAATCTCTGTACTAGCCTTTTCCCTACTATACATGGTAAGAGTTAAATGATATAGACTTAAAACTGAAGTGTTTATTGCAATACTATTGTGCTTATTTTTAAAATGGAAAGGAATCATAGATCATGGAGGCGCCTATGTGACACAGTGTTCAGAGTATTGGACTTCAAGTCGGAAAGACTTGAATTCAGATCCCCTCTCAGATGCTTATTAGCTATGTGACCCTGGGCTGCACAAGTCACTTATCTACCTTAGTTTCATCTGTAAAATGGGATGATAATAATAGCATTTACCTCACAGGGTTATTGTGAGAATCAAATGAGTTAATATTTGTAAAGCACTATATAAATTCATAACTCACTTAATTTTTTTCTTTTTTTTTTTCTTAAAGAAATTTGTTGTTACGGAGATTTCATGCCCTCTTGGTAAAACTCATTATGTTCCTCATACCTTTGACAGTTATAAATTAAAATTCCTACTGCTATATTTTCCTGTTTTTCTTATACTCAACTGAAGGAGAGATCAACAGATTACTATTACTCAAAAAATACTCCTTCATTTTTAAGGATATAATTAAATCTTCTAGCTTTCCTCATGTTCTCTCCCACCCAGCCTCCCTCTCCTCTTTCTCTTCTGCAGTACCCTTGGATTGAGCCAAGAGCTTGTAAGACTGTTGGATCTTCATTATGGGTGTGCTTTTAATCATTTAAAATAGTCTCTTCTTTCCAAATATCTAATCAGGGAAATTGAACATGGACCATAGATTTCGAACTGGAAAGAAAGGACCGTAGAGGATCTAGTCCAGCCCTCTCATAGATGAGGAGCTGAAGCAAGGAGAAATTCTTCTAAGTTCTCAACAAAAAACAGGAAGAAAACAAGCAACAAAAATTAGTCTGATGGTTTTAGGTTTGGCTGGCTGTGTGTGCATTGTCTTGAATTCTTTTTTTCTTAACCAAAGGCATTTAGTTACTCTCATGACAGCTAAGTTAACCCAGAGGAATATTTTTCTTTCTTAGCACAGTTTCAATTTTTGTTGCTTGTTTCCTTCCTGTTATTTGTTGAGCACTTAGAAGAAAGCACATATAAATATATTTGGAGTATTTGTGCCTAATGAGTGCTTTTACTGAAGTCATCCTCCATTTCCTTATCACAGAATGTAGGCAACCCTGGATTCTTTTGTTTAAATTTTATTTCTCTTTCAGTTAATAAGCTATAATTTTTTTTTCTCCTTCTCAGTTTCCTCTTTCTTATTGCTAAGGAAAAAAATACCTTTTTAACAAATATGCAAAACAGATTCCCACATTAGCCATGGCCAAAAGTAGACATCTCGTCATCTGCACCCTGAGCCTGTCTCTTCTTGGTCAGGCCTGTAGGTGTCATGCTTCATCGTAGGTTCCTCTGCAGTTAGGGTTGGTTTTGGTGGTGAGACAGGAGTTTTGAGCATTTACAAAGCATTTACCAAACGCTGTTTCCAGGCTTGTTTATAAGATAATGTATACAAAGCCCTTTGTAAACCTTCAAGCACTATGTAATTGTTAAGTTATTTTTTTATATTTTATATGTAAATCAGTAAACATTTACTAAGTGCCTCCTATGTGCCAGGCGCTGTGATAAGTGCCGGTAATACAAAGAAAGGTAAAAGACAATCTCTTCCCTCAAGAACCTCAAAATCCAATGAAGGAGATAATGTACAAATAACTGTCCAAATAAGCTATATACTGTGTAAGTTGGAAATAATCAAAAGTGAAGGCATTGGAATTAAGAGAGATTGGGACAAGCTTCCTGTAGAAGATGAGATTTTAGCTGGGGCTTGAAGGGAGCCAGGAAAGCCAGCAGGCAGGAATGAGAAGGGAGAGTGTTCTGTGCTTGGGCGACAGCCAGGGAAAAGGTGTGGAGCTGGAAGATGGAGGAACAGCAATGAGGAGGTCAGGATCACCGGGTTGAAGGGTATAGAGGAAGGGGTATAAGGTTTAAGAAGACTGGAAAGGTAGGGGATGGGCAGGTTATTAAGGGCTTTGAATGCCAAGTGGAAGGTTTTTAAATACTTCATTCTGGCAGACATAGGGAGCCACTGGTGTTTATGGGGGGGGGTTAACATGGTGAGAACAGGACTTAAAGAGGTTTAAGGGCCAAGGATGCATTATGGCATAGTAGATAAGCGCTGGACTTGGAGTCCAGAAGACTTGGGTTCAGATCCCACCTTTGGCATTTCTCTAGTTATGTGTCTGAACAAGTCATTTAACTACTTTTAGCTATTTTCTGAGGCTCATCTATTTTAATTTATAGACAAGTCCAAGGAGTTCCCAAACTGATGAAATCATACATTCTTGATATATTTTTGTTTTGTTTTGTTTTTGGCTAGGCAATGGGGTTAAGTGACTTGCCCAGGGTCACACAGCTAGTAAATGTCAAGTGTCTGAGGCCGGATTTGAACTCAGGTCCTCCTGACTCCAGGGCCAGTGCTGTATCCACTGCGCCACCTAGCTGCCTTTTGATGTCCTTTTGATTAAAGAGAGTCCTTTGCTTCACCCATAACTTCTCTCCTTCTCTTTCAGGTAACAATGAGGTAAAGCGGGGTGTCCTTCTGATGCTTTTTGGAGGTGTTCCCAAAACAACAGGAGAAGGCACTTCCCTGAGAGGAGATATAAACGTTTGCATTGTTGGTGACCCCAGCACAGCTAAGAGCCAGTTTCTTAAGTAAGCATCCATAGTTACAGTGAGGCTGGGATAGAAAGTTACTTTTTTGTTCAGAGGATTCTTAGGTTATATGGAATGCATTCTGTATGTCTTACGATAAGGAAAAGGGAGTATGGGGGTGGAAGTATATGTTAGATTGGTATGTAATACTCAGGAACATTATATGCTCTTAGGGTAGAGACAATCCATGTAGTAAAGAGGACCCTAGGCTTAGAAATCTTGGATTCAGTCCCAGCACTGACATTAATTATATGATTATGGAAAAATCTCATCACCTCTCTGAATCTTGTTTTAACCACTTGTAAAATAAGGGAAATAATATTTATGATACATAGATTTTTGTGTGTGTGTGAGAATTACTTAGCCATTCTTAAGACTTTAAAATATCCCCAAGCTTACATAACTTTTTCTTGCTCTAGAGTTTCATGGTTAGGTGTTTACCTGAGAGGGCCACTGATTATAATATTGTAGTCACAGATAGAGAGTTGGAAGGGACCTTGGAGGCCTGTAGAGGTGGTTTTACAGGTAATAACAGCTAGACATATAACATTTGAACCCAGTACTCTTTCCATTCTACCACAGTGCCTCTCATCTGGATTGATTTTTAGATGGGAAAGTAGAGGCTGTAAGCTAAATGGAATTTTTTTAACGTTTTCTAAGAACTGTGTTGCCTTTGACATATGCGAATGCTATTATATCTGGTCCTCTTGATTAGATATGTCCTCAGAATCGTTTTTCCTACTCTTAAAATCATTACACTGTCTTTGCATTAGTTTCAGCTCATTATTTGAATAAGTTAAAAACCGTTTAAAAGGCCAAGGAAAACAAGGCTTTCATAGTATTATATCAGACTACATATGACATAAGTTTTCCCCCACCCAGTGTGTGGGCTATGTCTTTTGTGAATAGACTATACTCAGTATCGTGCTCTCACATATTCTAGAGTATCATTTAATGCTTAATTATCATAACCCCTAACCCCTCTTTTTCCTGGAAAAGGTGCTCTGAGAATAGGCCTGGATTGCAGACTAATCTGATGCTTTTCCATCTCGTCCTTGAATAGGCATGTGGAGGAGTTCAGTCCCCGGGCTGTGTACACCAGTGGGAAAGCCTCCAGTGCTGCCGGCTTAACTGCTGCGGTGGTGAGAGATGAGGAGTCCCATGAGTTTGTCATTGAGGCTGGAGCTCTGATGTTGGCAGATAATGTAAGCAATGGTTTAAATTCTTGAATTTAAAAATTAAAGCATCAACCTGTCATGATAGGAGTAAGAGGAGACAGTGCCTGCTTTTGGTTTGTGATTGTTTTCTTAGAATAGGTTAAGGTTGAAAAGTTGGAATAAACAAAATTTTTTTTATTATCATAATTTTCTTCAGAAAAGGACCAAAGATGATTTTTAAATTGTTCTAATTTAATAGTCTGACAAAATTATGTTCTGTCCATGGGGTTTGTTCTTCGATCTCAAAGAGGACCATGACGAGGGAGGTGATGACATGACTTGCAGTTGACTTTGATTGGAGTGAGGGAGGTCTGTGCAGGGTCACCAGCCTCACTTTCTCCACCAGAGCCATCTGGCCAGATATTCATCAAGATGACTGGAGGTGGGGGGCAGCTTGGTGGCACAGTGGATAGAGCGATGGCCCTGGAGTCAGAAGGACCTGAGTTCAAATTCGGCCTCAGACACATAACACTCACTAGCTGTATGACTCTGGGCAAGTCACTTAACCCAAATTACCTCCCCCCCCCAAAAAAAAGGGAAAAAAAGACAGCTGGAGGTGGCCCAGGATGCAGTGGGAGACTCTGGATCTTTTAAGCTAAGGTCTTTTCAGGTTCTCACTTTGAGTGAGGTTCGCCCAGTCAGTGAATAGGCTTCTTTAACCTGTGAGTTAGGGGTGGCCTCTTTTACAAAACAAAACTAAACAAAAAAAGAATCATACTAGGAGGGAAGACTCTGAGGGTTGTTGGCCAGAAGAGAAAGTTGCTATTTATATTCACTCTGAGCCAGGAGGGCCCAAAAAATAACCATTAAGTGGTCCTTTGGCTGGGCAGGGACATGTTGTTGTCCAGTCAATGACATCCAGAGTGGTTTGGGTTTAAGGCTCGGTCTTTGAGAAACAAATCTGGTCAGTATACCCCAAATTAGTCAGGTAGGTTTTGGCCCTCAAAATTTACCTCCCTTTGAGCAGAACATCCTCAGGTAAGGGAGGAGAGGAGAAGACAAGCTGAGTTGCCCAACTGGAACTGGCCAGCTGGGTCCCCATTAGGGCAGTTTGGACTCCTTACAGGTTGTGGTTTATCCTTCGTTGGCCAGCCCCCTACACTCAACTCATCTTCCTCCCCCAAAAACCCAAACAAACAAACAAACCATAAACTTCCAAGAGCTGCCCTGGGAACAGTACAGATGATGACATAAGTTACAATTGAATTTGGTTGGAGTGAGGGAGGGCTGTGCAAAGTTACCAGCCTCGCTTTCTCCTCCAGAGCCATCTGGGTCCAGTGGCCAGATGGCGTTCAGGACGACTGGAGATGGCCCAGAGTACTGTCCATAGGCATTTACTGAACTCTCCAGGGTGTACTGCTCTTTGTTGTATCCTGATAGGTTTGTGAAAAGCCATTGTTTTCTACTATCATTTTAAATTTGTTGCCCCTCTGTGTGAGCCAGCACATTGAAGGAGTATGTCTCACCTCATCCAGGCATCTCTCAAACCATTCCTGTAAAATCAGACATGTTTTTAAATAACTACCAGTCTGTGAGAGGCCACATAGCGAGTTCAAGTCCTGCCTTGGACACAGAGTAGCTGTGGTCATATGCAAGTTACTTAATCCCTTAGTGTCCCAGGACTCCATTAAAGCTATAAATTATTGATGATTTGCCAGTCTGCGTTGGTAGGAGTTTCCCCACTCTTAAATCACAAGGTCTGGCCCAAAAAAGGGGGGAAACTTGTTTACATGGGATGTTGTAAATTGGATAATGGTTAGGAAAGGATGGATGTATTGTGACCACACATAGGTAGGCACGTAGAGTATTTATATACCTACGTTGTTCTCCATCATGCTTGTTTACACTTCTCTCCCCAGTGGCCTCAGAATTTGGCAAAGAAGAGTAAAAAACCATTGTAGCACTCTAAGATGTGTACTAGAGCATTTCAGTCACAGGTTAGAGAAGAGTACGTTAAGTAATTTATGACTTAGGGGCTGAACCAAATGTGGGGAGCAAATTAAAGATTTAAGGTAAAAAAAATCTGTCTTTCTCCAAAGTGACTAGGTATGTCTGTCTTGTATATACAACTCACATTTATGTGAAATTAGCCATTTATTTGGAAAATAGCATCACCTTTAATAAATAATAACTAGCATTTATATGTTGCCTTTAAGGTTTTATTTCATTTGATCCTCACAATAACTGTGAGAGATAGGCACTATTCTTATTTTACAGATGAGGAAACTGAGGCAAACAGGGTAAGTGGCTTGTCCAGGGTCACTGAGGCAGGATTTGAATTCAGGTCTTCCTCGTTCCAGGTGCAATGCTTCTAGAGGGCAGAGTATTTAATTTTTGTTTTGTAGCATCCATTCACTAACCAGGGTTGGGGAACATGTGGCCTTCTAGGTCCTTAAGTGCAGCCCTTTGACTGAGTCCAAGTTTTACAGAACAAATTCTTTTATTAAGGGGATTTGTTCTGTGAAGTTTAGGTTCAATCAACTTGAGGACCTAGAGGGCCACGTGTGTCGTCAAGGCTGCAGCCCCCCCCCCCCCGATAGTTGGCGCATAAAATAAATTCATGTTGATTAACAAAATGAGCACTTGGTAGTGTTGGCAAAACCTTGTGATTTTGGTAGGTTGGTCCTGTTTCTTTGAAGTTTGTAGTTAGGCTGCTCACTCTTGAGTCTTCATTTGCTTTCAGGGTGTATGTTGTATTGATGAGTTTGATAAAATGGATATGAGGGACCAAGTTGCCATTCATGAAGCCATGGAACAACAGACAATCTCCATTACCAAAGCAGGAGTTAAGGTATGTCATCGCTAGCCTCACTATTTAGATTAGGGCCAGAAAGAGGTAATGGAGGCCCCCAAAATAAAAGTAATTCTTTTCATAAGAATTGGACACAGCCTTTCATCACTAGAGATCATAGGTCTTCTTGGGGCATTGTGGAAGTATGTGGTTTTGACACTCACCAAGATAGGAAAAGTGGGCAAAATATTGAGGGTATTTGTAGATTGAAAATAATCTCCCTGCAAAAGTGCTCTGTCTTGCAAGAAAGCATGCACTGTCCCTCCATGAATTAACACCAGTGACGGTCATTGAGACCCTTTGTTTTTGAATGACTAGAGACTTTTCACGTGCCTTGTGTTTTTCATACTTCAGATTCTGTAGACTTCTGGTGGCTGCAAATTCTTTCTTTCTCTCTCTCTCTCTCTCTCTCTCTCTCTCTCTCTCTCTCTCTCTCCCCCTCTCTCCCTCTCTCCCTCTTTCTCCCTCTGTCCTCTCTCTCCTGCTGTGGCTCTGAGTGTTTTCAGAGAGATTCTCAGTGTTTCTTTATCCTCTTCCTCTCACTTTGAGCCCGGACCTGCATCCCAAGCATACTATGTTTTTAAAATGAGCACCAGCGAACATGGTTAAAAGGCAGTTACATCTTTGTTGCTCTTTTGTGTCAAAGAAGGGGAAGGTGGATAATGAGTTGGGTTTCTCCTAATTTTTTCCTTTGTTTTGTGGCCAGGCTACTTTGAATGCCAGAACATCCATTCTGGCTGCAGCAAACCCAGTGAGTGGACGCTATGACAGGTCAAAATCACTGAAGCAAAACATAAATCTCTCGGCTCCCATCATGTCCCGATTTGATCTCTTCTTTATTCTTGTGGATGAGTGTAATGAGGTAACCGTGCGAGTGGCTATGCTCCCCCTTTCTTTTTGTTTTCCATTTGAGCAATTGAGTGAAGCAAGACTGGAAGTTAAAACTGCGGAACAGCTGGCGCATGTGTATGTGCAGTGACCTTTCCTATCGGGGGAGGGTGGGAAATGTGAGGTAGCTGAAGTAAAAATTACTTGAGTTTAACTTTACTTACGTGGAATTGGGGGCGTGTGGACTCTCAGAGCTACTATCCAAAGCCAGGAAAGTATTTTGGATCCCACCCCCATCTTTTTTTGTTATTATTATTATTATTTTTTGCTAAGTTTGATGTGCCAGGTTTGGGAGAGGGCAGGGTGAGCCTCCAAAATGTGTGGGTAGAAATTTAATAAAAATTGGATACATTTTTCTTCTGTTGGTACCCTTTGTTTTAAAAGCATTTTACTTACATTTAGAATCAGCATTTACCCTGTTCATCCTGTTTCTGGAAGTCCACATTCTATTGTTGTTAATCAAAACATTGCCTTGAAAGGGTGAGGGTTGTCAAAAGAACCAAGTGAAGGTCTTTCATGTTTCTTACTATCTTTGGCAGCTTGGGGTGGGAATTACGTGCAGACAGTGGGTGGCTAATCAAAAAAGCCTGTTTGGTTTGTCTTAGGTCACAGATTATGCCATTGCCAGGCGGATTGTAGATCTACATTCAAGAATAGAGGAATCCATTGATCGAGTCTACTCCCTTGACGATATTAGAAGGTATCTGCTCTTTGCAAGGCAGTTTAAGCCTAAGGTAACTTAACTTTTTTTGCCGTTTTATTGTACATATAATGGGGTGCTTCAGGCTGGCTCATTACATAAAATGACACAAGAATGAATTCTGCTTGCTTTAAAAGTTTGCAGTTGTAATCTGAAGACGTGATTGAATTTAGGAAAAGAGTAGGGTCAGACATAACTAATAGGTACAAATGTGCAGTCTCCACTTGCCAATTAAATGGTTATCTAGGACCTCCAGATACCTACCATTTGTATTTTCCACTGCTGTCATAAGAATAAGTTAGTTAGGAAATAAAAAAGTTAATCCTAATTCACACTCCTGTCTTCTAAGTGATAATAATAGCTTAGAGGCATCAGTGTAGTAAATAGAGCCTAGATCTGGAAGACCTGGGTTTAAGCTCATCTCTTGAACTTGTATACATGAGCATGGGTAATTCGTTTTAATTTTTCAGTGCCCCAGACAACCCTCTGAAGAGTGCCAATCTACAATGGTCAAAATGGAAATTCCCTATCCCAATAAAACTTGATATGGGGGCGAAGATCTGGATTCCCACTCAGCAACATAGTTGACATTTCCAACTCACTCCACAGTTTACAGAGTGCTTTATATAATCTCATTTGAGCCTCATAACAACCTGTGATACAGGTAGTAGATTTTATTCCCGTATTACAGACACAGAAACTGAGTCTTCCACTTGCTTAACTTGACATAGCCAGTAAATGGTAGAACTAAGGCTGGTACTGATGTTTTCTGAGTTTAAACTCAGTTTTTTCTCCAGTACTGCAAACACTCTAATATAGGCCACATCCCTAATCTTTTTTTTTTTTTTTTTTTTTTTGGTGAGGCAGTTGGGGTTAAGTGACTTTCCCAGGGTCACACAGCTAATACATGTCAAGTGTCTGAGGTCAGATTTGAACTCACTTCCTCCTGAATGCAGGGCTGGTGCTCTGTCCACTGTGCCACCTAGCTGCCCCATCCCTAATCTTTTGAAAGGAAAAATCATAAATAGCTATACATTAGAAAACAGCACTGTTTATAGGCTACACTCGGGTTTTATACAAGCCAGATTTGTCAGGGAGAAAATTCTGCCTGTGTTTGGCTGTTGCCTACAAAAAGTGGGGGTGGGGAAGTAGAGTTTGAAACTAAGTGATCAGAAATACTCAGAGTGTAGTGTTTTCATGGATATAACTTCTTGGATCAATCATAGTGAATTAGAAAACTCCTTTGGTTTTTAACTCTTGTTGCTGAAAATTCTTTAAAATGTATTGGTCCATTTGCTTTAAATTAGTATGATTAACATAATTAAATCATTCTGATGCATGACAATGATCGTACAGTCCATCTTTCTGAACTTCAATTATATTTTTATTGTATATTGTCAGTGTAGTTGGTGTAGGAGGTTGGCCTGAATCTGTACTGCTCCGAGGGCAGCCCTTGGAAGTTTACAGTTTGTTTGGGTTTTGGGGGGAGGGAGATGAGTTGTTTCATTAGTAAATTCAGAAAATGAGTTTATTTTCTTGTCATTTTGGGGTTTTTTTTTTTTTTTTTTTTTTTTTTAAGTGAGGGACCTTCTCCCCCTCGAAACAGTCAAAATGCTGTTAGATTCTGGTTAATTGAGAATTTACCGTATTGACTAAAACGATATTTTGAGATTAGATTAGGGGCAGCTAGGTGGCGCAATGGATAGAGCACCGGTCCTGAAGTCAGGAGGACCTGAGTTCAAATCTGGCCTCAGACCAAACACTTGACACTTACTAGCTGTGTGACCCTGGGCAAGTCACTTAACCCCCATTGCCTTTTAAAAAAAAAAGAGAGAGAGAGATTAGATTAGATTCTAATTATCCATGCTTGTGTGAGTATTTATGGCATTCAAGTTGATCTTAAATGCCTAGGCAGAATGAAACCAAGGTGGGTCACATGGAAATAAATATTATTTGTAAAAGTTTTCACAGAAAGTTGATAGTCCATCTAGAATGTATACTCTGTGACCTTGACACACCTCACTTAATATTGCTGATTTAGCTGATCTGAAAAATTGAGATAAATCTTAACCACCTTCCGTTCTTGTTTTTTTCCCTTGCATAATTCAGGAAGTAAAGTTTTCTAAAATCATTAGCATTTATATTTGCAGTTACCACTTAATGCTTCCAAATATAACACAAGTTAACGAGCTACTTCTCAAGGATTCCTTGAGTATTAATGCATTTAATGAGCTTTGACATGCAGATATGAAAGGTATTCCATACCAGTGCCTCAGCATGTCAGGCATCTTGCAGAAGCAATCCTTTGCTTAAATGTGAACCCATCCTCTACATGTTAAACCTGATGAAACATTTCATTTTCAAACGAGTGCTTTGAAATCACAGACTTTCTTAGGCGCAGTTGCTTTGTAAGGAATTGTAAGATAGCAGTTCAGTGATATTGTCATTGAAGTGTTTATTGGCTAAGTTATTGTGACATCTCCATCTTATGGCACATTATTAAACAAGCAAGATTGTGGAATCCCCTAAAACTTTCTTTAAAAAAGAAACAGTTCTTAAGTCAGACCAGAGTCCTCCCTCTAAACAGAGGAACAAAGGTGTCTCTGTAAGTGAGCATGCTTCTCGAACCTCGTTGGTGTCTTGGAGTAGATTTCTAAAGAGTCAGAAGACTTCATTGTGGAGCAGTACAAGCGCCTGCGCCAGAGAGATGGCTCTGGGGTTACCAAGTCTTCCTGGAGGATTACAGTGCGGCAGCTGGAGAGCATGATCCGGCTCTCTGAAGCCATGGCCCGCATGCACTGCTGTGATGAGGTCAGTGTCTGTTTCACGTCGTGTTCTTGGGTGAGGTGGGACAAGGGGGGAGTTTGGGAGGGATGGAGGGCAAGAGATAACTTTATTGGTAGAAAGATAGTGGTCCTTTACCTTTGTGTGGGAAGTACCAGTGTGAGCAGAAATATGGAGGTGACAGCTATTTCCTAGCTTAACTGCCTCACATTTCTTTAATGTTTCCCTGTAGGGAGTTTGTTACCAAGCACTTATGAGGATATACCGTATCAGAGCACTTTATAGTGGGGGAGATAAAGTGGACAGGGCATAGTACTCTGTAAGTTGCAGAAAAGGTCCTGACCAGAATTGGGAGTGGGGGTTTCCACACCCAGGAGTTGTCTATGCCAGTGAATTCACGGGTCCAGTCCCTACCTACCAGTCAGTCAGTAAACATTTATGAAGTACCTGCAGTGTGCTAGGCACTGCCAAGAGCTGGAGACCCAAAGAAAGAGGCAAAAGAGAGTCTTTGCTCTCAGGCAGCCCCGTCTGCTGGAGAAGGGGGAGAACAGCATGCAAAACCCAGTACAGACAGGCTCTACACAAGAGAAATGGGAGATAATCAGAGGAAGGTACTGGAATTACAGGGGAGTGGGATAGACTTCTGGTAGAAGATGGGATGTTAGTTGGGATTTGAAGGAAGTAAAGAGGGAGAGAATTCCAGGCATGCAGGAATGCCAGTAAAGAGTGTCTTGTTTGGGGAACAGCCAGAGGCTGGTGTCACTGGATCTCAGTGTAAATTCAGGGCGGGGGGAATGGTGTAAGGTATGAGGAGATGGACAAGTTGTAGGAGGGGCAGGTTATGAAGGGCTTTGAATACCAAACAGTTCATTTTTGATCCTGGAGGCAATAGGGAGCCACTGTATTTTATTATGTGGTGACGTGGTCAGACGTGATCTTTTTAGAAAGATCATTTTGACTTTGGGGTAGAGGATGAGCTGGAGTGGGAAGAAAATTGAGGCTGGGAATCCAACTAGTAGGCTATTCTAATAGTCCCAATATTCTAATAGTCCCAATGTGAGGCGATATGGTCATTTAGGGTGGCAATGTTATCAGAGGAGAGAAGGTTCATATACGAGATGTTACAAGGTAAAAATCAACAAGCTGTGGCAGCAGATTAGATTAGGGGTGAGGTAAGGGTAAGAAATGGTGAGGGACAAGATTAACGTCTAGGTTAGGTGCCTAGAAGACTGGGAGGATGGTAGCAGCTTTGGCAGTAGTAGGGAGAGGGAAAGAATGGATACCGATTGGCAACATGCTGAGTTTAAGATACCTATGGGATATCCAAGTTGAGGTGTCCAAGAAGCAGTTGGAGATGAAAGGCTGGAGGTCAGCAGAGAGGTTAGAGCTAGATAAGTAGATTTGAGAATCATCAGTATAGTGTAGAAGCAATAATTGAATTCATGGAGCTGATGACATCTCCAAGTGAAATAATATAGAGGGAGGAAAAAAGAGGGCCCATTCATAAGGCAAGGTAATGAGTACTAGACTTGGGCTTACTCTTATGATCCTCCTCATCTCTTTGGACACCCTCTGGTATCCTAGCAAGCTTGCGCTCCGTCCTCGGCATGTTCTAGCCAATTATCCATGTATGTTATGTGTAACATGTGTGGAAACATGGTACTAAATTTAACTGTATCGGGACAGAAAAGGGATAGTGCTCTGTTTTTAATTAGCAATGGTTTCTCAATGCCAAGTTCCTTAAAGTTAGGATTGGTGGAGAAAAGCTATTCTGTTCTCTCTAAGAGAATGATGTGAAAATTTGCCTGGTTAATTTTTTAGAGCAAGATAATCTAAACAAAGTGCTGTAAACCTTTCAGGTGCCATATAGATGTCATCAATATTGCTGTCATTATCAACTAGTTGATAATCAGAGGGGAAGGATTAGAAAATGAACTACCTTCCATTCATATGGGGCTTTTTTTTCTTTTTAGTATGCTTATTGCAGGGAAGGAAAGGGCTTAGATGTTCACTTAATCCTTGTTAAATGTAACTGGAATGTTGGCATGTGTTAATTCTGCTTAGATAGACTGTGCTTGATAAATCAGCTTAAATGAACGTCGACTCTATTCTGTCCATCTTTAGGTACATCCTAAACACGTGAAGGAAGCATTCAGATTATTGAATAAATCTATCATTAGAGTAGAGACACCTGATATCAATCTGGGTCAAGAGGAAGAGCCCCTGATGGAGGTAGAAGAGGGCCAAGATGGCATCAGTGGTGAGTCTTGGCGCATCTGAGCTCATTTGGGTTAAGAGACCATGAAAGGTTCCTGAAAGTTTTCTAGAAAAACTTGTTGGGCAAAGGGTCATTTAAGAGGGCAAGGGAGGAATAATGTACAGGTTAATAACATATGAAACTTGTCTAGTCCTTTTAAAGTTTTTGTGGGTCGCTCATGGCCGTCCTTACAACTTAAATTTCAGTACTTCTTACAGCATCCTCTCCCCATACTAATAAATTCTGAAAGTTGAGTAACTGTATACGACCACGAAAATATTTACTAGTTTTGACTTTAAATTAGGTCATGCTGATGTCCCAGTTACCATCAATGGAATCAACGGCCACAGTGAAGATGTGAACCAGGACGTGGCTCCCAAAGCTTCCCTGAGGCTTGGCTTCTCTGAATACTGCCGCATCTCTAACCTCATTGTGCTGCACCTCAGGAAGATGGAGGAAGGTGAGAATCTAGGCTTGGTACACACGCTTTCAGGCATCTGCACAAATTGGGATGAAATAAATTGCTTCTGATTACCTAGTCTGTCATCTTAAAGCTTCAGACCTTGGAAAGAATGAACTTGTGGGAATATCCAATTTGCCCAAGAAACTTTTTTGGGGGGCAGGAGAACATAATCCATCCAGACAGGATCTTCACTGTTCACTTCGGCTGTGTTGTCAAACTGCAAACTTGGGGGTTTTTTTGTTATTACCGAGTTGGTATTTTTAACGAGACTTTGAAATGGCATTTGGGAGCTGGAAAAAAAAAACAAAACAAACCAGTTATTTGTTTTCTTTCTAAGCACTCATAACTCTTTATATAAAAAGTGTATGGAATCGTTGCTTCTAATAGTTGTTCCATCCAGTATATAAGAATTCACATTTTACAGGCCAAGAAGTTAAGACCAGGGAAATAGATGTGAACTATCCCAAGGCCATTTTGAGCTAGAAATAAAATGAATTCCTCATCTTAATCATCTTAAGGCATTTGGCCACTGGAGTGTTTAATTCAGTCTTAGGTCACAGTCCCTGCACACGCTGCTGTTTTAATGGTTTCCCTGCTTTGGAAGAGGCTCCAGAGACTGCCTAGTCTAAACTGTGCTGGGACAAGTTGTCTTGCTCTTCATTTCTCTGAGAGGTTAAAAAGAAGGAAATGGGAGTACAAGGTCTGAGATTTTTTTTTTAATTACTCATTAAAAATCAGTGTGGTTTTTGGTTCTTAAGATAACTTTTGAGACTGGTTTTTGGCATGCATCCCAAATGCTCATGCCCTGCCAACATGGGATCTGCTTTGTGGTCAAGGATGATGAGATACTCTGCCCCGAGCTGCTGACTTTAGGGGAGGAAGGGGACAGACCAGCTACCATTGGAGCAAGCATCTATATCTGTCCCTATCCCTTTCTTCTCATTTAGGAAGGAAATGAATACCCAAGAAGGAAGCTCATTGGTTCTTAATATAACTTGTTTTATAACATTTGCAAAATGATTTATGCTTCTTGTTCATATGACACGATCAGCTTCTGCCACTCGCCTCCTCCTTTGGCAAATAAGGAAACTGAGGCATGAAGAGGTTTTAAAAACAGGAAATGAGAGCCAAGATTAGATCTAACCACCAAGTCACAGTGACTGTATTCCCCAAATAAATTCCACTGGATAGTCTTCCTTGCCCTCCACCTCCGTTATGAAAAAGATACTGGTGAGGGGGCAGGTCAGCTAGTCAAGGAAGATATTAGATTTCCAACTATGTAGTGGGTGGTTCCTGCCCATTGTGGAATGCAGCCAGCTGATATTTAAGACAAGTGAGCTCAGCTCCCTGAAATGTCAGTTTAAAGTTTGTGGTCCTCTTTATCCTAGAGTTCAAAGACTGATGGATGATTTGGCTCATCTTTTTTTCAAGGGGCATATCTATAACTGGTTTTCAAAAGCAGTCCATGGACTTTTAGGTGTCCCTGAGACCTTTTCAAGGGGTACACAATATCGAAACTATTTTAATAATAATAATATTAAGACATTATTTGCCTTTTAAAATCTTTCTTCTAAGTACATACTTGTGTGATGCCAGATTTTCTTCATATACTTCAGCCAAAACAACAGAAGATTGAATGCAGAAACATATATGAGAATCCAGCTGTCTTGTAAGCCAGACATTAACAATATTTGCAAAAATATGTAAAAACAATGCTACTCTTCTCACTAAATTTTTGTTTTGGAAAATATAGTTAAACATGTTTAAATGGGTTAATTAGTTTTAGTGAATCAATAAGTGTGTAAAGGAGTACTGATATCAAAAAGTTTGAGACCTATTGATCCACAAAACCGTCCTCTCTAACTTACTTAATTGCACTTGGACACCTAGGTATTATCACTGGGGGCTTGGTGCTTAAGCTTCATGGAGTTCAATGAGCACATATTAGAATACTTTCTGTTTGAATCTGTGCAGTAGCATCTTGAGTCCTGGCTGTTCAGCCTGGCTACCTGGCATTAATATGTACTTGGTCACTGGATCAAGGGCTCTCTGCTTCTTAAAATCTTGCTTTAATGGACTCCTTTTTTTGAAACGTGTGTTCTTCTGAGTGGTTCTGCCTACCGCCCTAATCCTTGACATCCTACTCATCCCTTCAGCTAAGTTTGGTAAGCACTCCCTGCTCAGACTGCAGGGCATAGGAATATGACAGAAAAGCTTATGCATGTTAAAATCTAATAACTTTAAGCAGATCATTAAATGTAAACCTTATTTTATTAGATTTTTCTCCTTTTAGCCTAAAGTAAGTTCTCTAATACAAGTATTATGACTGGTTACTCCAGACTCCTGCCGGAGCAGTATAAACTTTATGAAAGCAACTCTGCCTTCTGACAGGTTGGCAATAATCTAAACTTCACAGTGTATCTTCTTGTGTACATAAACCCAAGGAATTGGCATTGCATTTTGATAGAAGAATAATTTTACCCTTTAAAAAAAATTTATTTTTTGTTGCAGAAGAAGATGAGTCAGCACTAAAGAAGAGCGAACTTGTTAATTGGTACTTGAAAGAAATAGAATCGGAAATAGACTCTGAAGAGGAACTTATAAATAAAAAGAGAATCATAGAAAAAGTCATTCATCGGCTCATACATTATGTATGTAAAGAAATTCATGTGCCCGTATCTTAATGGGGGAAGACTTTTAGCTTATTTTTTGTATGCTTAGAACTTCATTGGTAAATGTTTATCAATTTTGTATTAAACATTGGCAAGTTTCAACAAAGTGTCAGGTTCTGATGGATTCCACAGCGAGTTTGGGCTTAGAGAACCTGTTAGGTAAACCAAAGACCTTTATTTCCTCTGATGGAAGGAACACAGGTTTGCTTAAAGGTTAGTTTATGAAAGGTACATAATAATACTCTAGGATCTTTGTTATGGTGTTTATTGGTTGGGTTTATTAGCTTACTTGGTTATATGTAGATAATAAGGATAGATCTGATATCAGCATCAGGCCGCTTTGTAGTTTTTTGTTTTTGTTTTGTTTTGTTCTTGTATCTATTGGATATGGTTGCTGCTAGAAAGGAGGACAGAGTTGTGACAGCGAGACAGCAAACTGAAAATAAGAATTGAATAATAAATTGTGGTATATTAATTTGTCTTAAAGTAGGATATGTGTATGTATGTGTTGAGTTATCTTTTCACTAGTGAAGAATGAGTTTACCTTCCATAGTCAGTAAACATTTAAGTGCCTACTGTGTGCCACGTACAAATATACCGTATTTCACTGCATAATTGTGGCAGATTTTATGTCATTTTGGGGAGGGGCACGCAAAAAAAAGTGGGGTATACCCATTATGTGAAGTTTTTTTTAAAAATGTGCCTGTATTACTTAAAAATCACTTATTATTAAACTGTCTTGGTGCAAGATTAGGATACATAGAATACTCATGAATATACTGGGGAGTTGCAACTCTTACCATATCACATGACTTACTCATGGCAGCTTCACCCTCCGCCTGCTCCCTTTGAGCCTATAGCACTTCATTGGGTTGAATGACAATACCGTTAGTACTGCTGCGCTCTAAACAAACCACGTGTCAGCTTTCAGAAATATACTGACAATGTGCTGAGAATTCTAGGCTCATAGCTCTCAGTGCGTGGGAGATAAATGTGTATCCATATGCCACTGGTGAATACATTGCTGCTCTATTTACCTTTTAAGCGGCATGTTGAACAGAATTATACCATGCGATGATTTATGCAATAGAAGTTCATAAACCAAATTTTTGGACTGAAAAGGGGGGCGGGGTAAACCAAGGTTCGACAATTACGCAGTGGCATACAGTACAAATACAAAAAGAGAAAGGCAATCCCTGCCTTCAAGGAGCTTACAAACTGGTGTGGGAAGGTAAAAACACAAAAGGAAGGTGAAGGGAGACATGGAGAGAGCCTGGGACGGTCAGGTACCCAATGCAGGGATGTGGTGAAGTCAGTCAGATGTCCCAAAGTAGTAAAGCCAGGTGAGAAGTTAGCTTTCTCCTTAAATGGAGATTTGGAGTTCACTGCCTCATCCTCCAGGCAGAGGGTAGTGATGAGGCGGAGGACCAAGGCTGATGAGATCTTACATGATGCTGAGGTTATCTCAGTCATGAGCTTCCTGGAACATGGTGGAGAAGTCCCACAGTGAGACTGGTGAGGATGAGGAGCCATTCATATGCTGTTGCCTGTAGTCCTTTTTGATCATTGTGAGATCCTGATTAATTTTGGTGATGCAGCCTGTTGATCTTATTTGGCACTGCCACAGGCCAGCTGTGGATAGAGTGGCACAGTGGATAGAATATTGGACCTGTAGTTAGGAAGATCTGAGTTCAAGTCCTGACTCAGACACTTAATAGCCATGTGACCCCAGTCAAGTCATTTAATTTCTATCTGCATCAGTTTCTTTATCTGTGAAATAGAGATAACAACTACTTCCCAGAGTTGTTGTGATAATCAAATGAGATCATAGATATAAAGCACTTTGCAAACCTTAAAGTGCTATTTAAATGTTAACTCTTGCTTAGTGAATGGAGCACTGGCCCTGAAGGCAGGAGGACCTGAATTCAAATTTGGCCTCAGACCAAACACTTGACACTTACTAGCTGTGTGACCCTGGGCAAGTCACTTAACCTTAATTGCCTAAAAATGGGGAAAAAAAATAAATGTTAACTCTTATTGGTACTGTATTTTAAGCACATGTGCTGACTGGACATAGGAGACCCCAGTGCTAGCAGTATATGGGCCTGATCTTATTAAATGACTCACTGATAAGCAAAATGTAGTGGGGTAGATTTTTTTGCCCTCAGATTTCCCGGTGATTTTAATGTTGATTTGTGGGATTTTTTTTTTTTATTCTCTGGATGTTATTGTAGTATTTCCTAATTTCCTAATATCCTGATATCTTTAGACTTGGCTAAGAAATCCTCCTTGTTAGTGGAAATTTTAAACTGACTTTGGAAAGTGTGCTGTAGGCACTGCTATCAAAAGAAAACATGGGCATGAAGCCGTTTGCCATTAAATAATCCAGATGGCAAGTTTTTACTATTTTTTTTTTTTAGTTTATTAGCACAGGATGAAAATGATTCCGAGTGAAATATGATAAAAATGATACTAAAAACTAGATTAGACGTGTGTGATGTGAAAGAATTTACCTAGTCACTTATTAAAAAGTCATCAAGAGTAATATTGAAATAAATCTGATAGAATTTTGAATGTCAGGAGTCTATGTCATTTCGTGAAATCTAAAAATTAGGATGTTATGGTCCATCTGCTTTGAAATAAATCATGTGTTTAAAAGTTATCACCATATGGCTGTAGTGTGTTTATGGCTTACCGCTATGCCAGTGCTATTCATTAAGTGCCTGTTTATTAAGCTTGTGCATGTATGATACAAGCAAGTTTTTAGACACTGCCCCTATTTTTTGAGAGACTAATGAGTCAACTAGCATTTATTATGGTCCTACTATGTGTCAGGCACTGCGCTGAGTGCTGGAAATAGTAAGGCAAAAAAAAACCAGCCCCTGCTCTCTAAAAGCTCTGAGTCTAATGGGGACAAACCACTGTGTACAAACAGTGGATGTACAACAATTTTGTACAGGATAAATTGAAGGTAGTCTTGGAGGGAAGGCACTAAAATTAAGGAGGACTGGAAAAGACATCTTGTAGTATGTGAGACTTTAGCTGAGACCTGGACAAAGATAGGAAAGCTAGGAGGCGGAGATGAGGAGGGAGAGCATTGCAGGTATGGGGAGCAGCCAGGCAGGACAGGGAGCGGGAGAACAGCAAGGACAGTGTCACAGGATCACGGAGTTTGTAAGAAAATTGGAAAGGTAAGAAAGAGGGGGTCAGGTTATGAAAGCTTTAAAAAGCCAAACACAAGATTTTATATTTGATGCCGGAGGCAGTAGGGAGCCACTGCAGTCTCTTGGATTGGGAGGGGGGAGGGGCACACATGGTCAGATGTGTGCTTTGGGAAGACCAACTTGGGTGCTAAGTGGAGGAGAGAACCAAGGAAGGATGAACAGCCAGCAGACTGTAGGAGTCCGGTTGGGGGGTGGTACCAGTGCTGGAAGTGTCAGAGAAGGGGACATTTACAGGAGATACAATGAAGGTAGAAATGGTGGGCCTTGGAAACATTGAACATGGGGGAGTGAGAAAGAGAGGAGTCCAGGGTGACATTTGGGTACTTAGATAACTGGGGCAGGGGGGTCGTGGTATCCTCAACAGTAATAGGGAAGTTAGGAAGAGAGGAGTGTTTGAGGAAGAGAATAATGAGTTCAGTTCTGGGCATCTTGAGTTGAAGATGTCTATAGGGCATCTGGCTAGAGGTATTTCATCAGCAGTTGGAGACTGGGAGAAAGCTCAGGGCTTGACAAGCAGATCTGAAAGTCATCTGCATAGAGGTAACTGAAACCATGGGAACTGAGGGAGTCACCAAGAGAAGTATGTAGAGAAAAGCGGGCCCAGGACAGACCCTTGTGGACCTCTCCATTTAGTGACAATGGCATAGAGGAAGATCCAGCAAAGAATATTTAGAGTGATGGGAGGAGAACCCGGAGACAGCAATGTCACAAGAGAGAAGGGAGTAGCCAGGAGGTGGGTGATCGATGGTGTCAGAGACTGTAGGGGGATCCAGAAGGATGAAGAGTGAGAAAAGGCCATCAGATTTACTGATCAAAAGAGCATTGGTAACTTTGGAGAGAGCAGTTTTGGTTGAAGGATGAGGTGGGAAGCCAGCCTGTAAAGACATAAAAAGAGAGTAAGAGGAAAGGAAGGGGAGTGCTATTGTAGTCAGACTTCTCAAGGAGGTCAATTTAACCACAGAAGGGTTGGGGGGGGCAGTAACAGCTAGCAAGGATGGACACATAAAGTTGGGGGGGTTTGAAGATGAGGGAGAAATGGGCTTGTAGTTTGGCAGTAGGAAAGCAGCTAATAGAGGATGATGGGAAATTAGTGAGATGGTGAGAGGGCAGGGGGGTGGCAGACTGCTGGAGAAGATGGGAAGGCGTGGGATCATATACCGAGGGGTTTTCCTTCATGAGGACAAGGACTACTTCGTGTGAAACGGGGCTAGAGGAAGAGATAGTGCATCCGATAGAAAGCATCCGAGTGAAGTGGGATGAGGAAAGGGCAGATGAGCAGCTCTCTGGGAGTGGCCTCAGTTTTCAGTGAGGCAAAGTGAAAGGCGGGGTGGGAAGCTATGGAGGTTTGAGGAGCAATGAAAAGGTTGGGAAGAGCTGCTGTGGAGAGTGGAGAATCAGTGAAGGGGAAGGAGGATTGTATAAAAAGGTTGCCTTGCCTCAGTAAGGGCCTGTTTGAGGTTAGGTAATTTAAGTCTGCACAGTTTTGTTGTTTTCTCTACTTTTGTTCAGCAGCTCTTTTGCAGGGTGGAAGTAGTGGATGGTGGAGGTAATCCAAGGCTGAGACTTGTTAGGACAAGATCAGTGATAGGAAAAGGAGCAAGAGGCTCAAGAGAAGAGGACAGTGTAGAGTTGAGCTGGTTCGAGATGGGGAAGAGAGGAGAGTGTAGCCAGTGCAGAGGGGACAACTTGGGGAGAGCTAGGTAAAGCAGGTGTGGGGGTCCCAGCAGAACAAAGAACAGGATTTGGAGTTGCCAGGCAGAGAGAGCAATGAAATAGTAACAAATTTTGATCATATAAAGAATTTCATATGAAATAGCATAGCAAGATGGAGGGTATCCAACTCTTTGTGTATAGCTGTCGTGGGGTGGGGCAAGGAACTGGGGTTTTAGCTGGGACTTGAAGGAAACCAGGAGTCTGAGGAAGAGCATTCTGTGACTAGCGTAATAATATAGCTGAGATTTCTATAGCACTTACTAGGTGCCAGGCACTGTACTAAGCACTTTATAAGTATCTCATTTAATCCTCACAACAATTCTGGAAGTTGGGTGCTATTATTATCCCTATTTTATGTGGAAACAGAGAAACAGGTTAAGTGATTTGTCCAGGGTCATGCAGGTAGAAAATGTCTGAGGATAGATATAAACTCAGGTCTTACTGATTTCCAGCCTACTGTTCTGTCTACTTACCACTTAGATGCAACCACTAGTGTATACATTGTTAGGTAGTCCTTGGTTTGTATTTTTTGGCTTATTTTTTTTTGTTTTTAGACTGGGGGCTCAATGGGACAACAGAGGAAGTGATTGATGTAAAGATAAAGGAGCATCATTAAGAAATTTGAAATTTGAAAAAAAAAATAATAAAGCCTAAGTGGGGAGGATAGCTACAGACAAACAGGCCATGCCTGGTGTCAAAAGGTCTGAGAGGGTGTCATGGCATGAAAGCGGGGTGACATCTAAAAAAAGATTTTACACATAAGGCATTTCCTGCCATGAAGGGGTCAATGTCTTTCTGAAAAGGAACTGAGCAAGAGAATGGGTAGTGTTGAAATGCATTGGTTTCTTTTGAGGTGAGTAAGATGAAATGGCAGCTACTGATAAGGTGGCAGGTGCCAGGCTCTTGAAAAGGGGGATCACTGTATGCTAGGAATGTCTTACACAGCACTTCCATTTTCTGAAACTTGTCTGTATGTTTTTCAGGATCACGTTCTAATTGAACTCACTCAAGCTGGATTAAGAGGTTCTTCGGAAGGAAGTGAGAGTTTTGAGGCAGACCCCTACCTGGTCGTTAACCCCAACTACTTGCTTGAAGATTAAAGGGGATTTTAAGTGACTATTTAATGATGGAAAATTGGTGGAAAGTATAAATTAACAACAAGGCTAGTATTTGAATGATGGTAAATTCACAAATGCAATAGGAGGCTAAGTGGGAAGAGGCTAAAAGGCTAAATTTAGGCAAAGAGGCTAAAAATTTCAAAGGCAGAAAAAGAAACATATATATATTTCTATGTGTTTCTATCTCATATTCCTTGAATACACTTATGCTGACACAAGGTCTTGTCCAGTTCAGGCTGGGACCTAGCAACCATGTGGTCTCTGTAATCACAAGAAGGACTTTAAAACTACATCTGCTTTTGTTCATGAGGTGGAACATTGTATCTGTTTCATGAATTCTGTTCCTTTGTTTAAAAAAAAGCAACCTTTTCTGTTTGACACTGCTTTTAATTTTCAAAGGAAAAATAAAAAAATTTGTCCTAAAGCTCATTTGTGTAGGATTTATTCCCACCTACTTTTGACAGTGTGATTGTCAGTCATTTTTCTCATATTAGTGGTGGAGGGGGAAGAAATGATGGGAGGGCTATAAATGGTCTAGGTCATGTTCATTGCTTCATCATGGTATGGCAGTGACCCTGCGTTTTAGAAAGCTGTCCATGAAGCCTGAACTGTGCTGGAAGGGCTTCAAGTAAGTACGCATTGTTCATCAGAGAAACAGGTTCAAAAAAACCTCATCACTAGGGAGTTGGCTACAAATTTTTTGATTTTGGGTTTTTGGCCATAGCAATTGGTTAGTCTACTGAAGTATAGAAGAGTCCTCAGCCCAGGGTTTTACACACAGCAAGCAGTTAAATGTTTTTCATTCATTCAGTCTGATCTATATCACAAATCCTTGATGTATTAGTGGAGAAATCAACACAATATTATTTGATCTGGAGACACTCAGTGGGAAGAAGAGTTGATTTTAATTCTTGCTTTATTTGTCCTTTTGCTTGAAAACAGGAGAACAGAGCAAAATACATTTCAAAGTCACTTCTAGCTCAAGAATTCTATACTTTTGATAGCTTATTAATTTTTTATATAATTAATTTAGTTTTAGTTTTCAACATTCACTTCCATAAGATTTTGAGTTTTAAATTTTCTCCCCTTCCCTTTCCTTCCCCCTCCCCAAGATGGCGTGCAATCTGATATAGGCTCTACTTACACATTCACATTAAACATATTTTCACATTAGTCATGATGTAAAGAAGAATTAGAACTAATGGGAGGAACCATGAGAAGGAAGAAACAACAAAAAAAAAAGCAAATAGTATGCTTCCATCTGCATTTGGACTCCATAGTTCTTTCTCTAGATGTGGATAGCATTTTCCATCGTGAGTCTTTTGGAGTTGTCTTAGATCCTTGTATTGCTGAGAAGAGCTAAGTCTATCAAAGTCAGTTATCGCACAATGTGACTGTTACTGTGTACAATGTTCTCTTGGTTCTGCTCATTTCATTCAGCATCATTTCATATAAGTTTTTTTGAAGTCTGCCTGCTCATCGTTTCTTATAGCACAATAGTATTCCATTATATTCATAAACCACAACTTGTTCAGCCATGACAGCTTATTAAATTAAGGCACTTATTATTTGAGAATTTTTTTCATCGAATTCCTATGGCTTGAGGGTAGTTGTTCCTAATTAGGCTTCAACTATTCTGTTTTAAGAACAGGGAAATGCCAAGGGTGGAGCCAAGATGGCAGAGTGAAAGCAGTGACTTGCTTGAGCTCTCCCTCAAGCCCCTTCAAATACCTATAAAAAATGACTCTAAACAAATTGTAAAGCAGCAGAACCACAAAAAGACAGTGAAACAAATTTCCAGCCAAAGACAGCCTGAATGGCTGATCAGAAAGGTATATCGCACCAGTTCGGGAGAGGAACACAGTTCAGCATGGGCACGCAGGCCCCAGCAAACCTGAAACAGGCCTCAGAGGACTGAGTCGCGGGCAGCTGTGGCAGTTTCCAGACTTCTCAACCCAGGAATGCCAAAGACAACTTAGGTCAGTGGGAAAAGTCTGTTTCTGCAGTGCTGAGAGAGTGGGATGGTGGGCTTCTAGCCCCATTCCCTAGGTGTGGCCCCGGGGCAGCAGCTGCTTCCTGAGCTTCTGGCACACAGACTGAGGGGGAATCGAGTGGTTGATCAGAGGGGGATTGCAGGGATCTCCCTTGCTTTGCCTGTGCTTGGATCTGGGTCACAGTTCTGGGTGGCGGTCCTGGGGTGAGGAGGAGTGCTGGCATGGTGGAGCTGGTAGTGGCTGTGGAGAGCAAACCCTCCTCACAGTTCAAAGACAGAAAAGAGTGCTCATAGACCAGAGCACAGGCCAGGAAAGGAATAAACACCTCGCCCCTTATCATAGCACCTTGGACGAACTGAAAATTTACAGGTCCCTAGAAATATCTCTGGGATATTTCCTTGAAATATCTGAAAACAGCTGCACAAAACCCCTAAAACTTGAGACAGTACATTCTCCACACTGGAAACAGACTCCTACCTTAACAAAGAGTTTATAACTCAAGTAATTGACCGAGATCATGAGCAAGCAACGCAAAAAGAGACTGTATTATCTTACTTTGATGACAAAGAAGATCAAAACATACAACCAGATGAAGCCAAAGCTCCTACATCCAAAGCCTCCAAGAAAAATATGAATTGGTCCCAGGCCATGGAAGAGCTCAAAAAGGATTTTGAGAAGCAAGTAAGAGAAGTAGAGGAAAAACTGAGAGTGATGCTAAAGGAGGGCCCAAAAATACTGAAGAAAATAACACCTTAAAAAATAGCCTAACCCAAATGGCAAAAGAGGTCCAAAAAGCCAATGAGGAGAAGAATGCCCTAAAAAGCAGAATTGGACAAATGGAAAAGGAAGTCCAAAGCTTACTGAAGAAAATACTTCCTTAAAAATTAGAATGGAGAAATTGGAAGCTAGTGACGATTTGAGAAATCAAGCCACTGTAACACTAATCCAAAGGAATGAAAAAATAGAAGAGAATGTGAAATATCTCATTGGAAAAACAACTGACCTGGAAAATAGATCCAGGAGAGAGAACTTAAAAATTATTGGAGTATCTGAAAGCCATGATCAAAAAAAGGGCCTAGACATCATCTTTCAAGGAATTATCAAGGAAAACTGCCCTGATACTTTAGAACCAGACGGCAAAATAAAAATTGAAAGAATCCACCAGTCACCTCCTGAAAGAGATCCCCAAGGAAAACTCCTAGGAATGTGGTAGCCAAATTCCAGAATTCCCAGGTCAAGGAGAAGATATTGCAAGCAGCCAGAAGGAAACAATTCAAGTATTGTGGAAACACAATCAGGATAACACAAGATTTAGCAGCTTCTACATCAAGGGTATGGAGGGCATGGAGTATAATATTCTGGAGGACCAAGGAGTTAGGACTATAACCTAGAATCACCTACCCAGCAAAACTGAGTATAATCCTTCAGGGTAGAAAATGGTTGTTCAGTGAAATAAAGGACTTTCAAGCATTTCTGTGGAAAAGACCAGAGCTGAATAGAAAATTTGACCTTCAAATACAAGACTCAAGTGAAACATGGAAGAGGTAAACAGGAAAGAGAATTCATAAGAGACTTATTAAGGTTGAACTGTTTACATTCCTGCATGGAAAGATGATATTTGTAATTCATGAGTCCTTTATCAGTATTAGGGTACTGGGAGGGAAAAAAAATTATATGTATGCATAGATAGATAGATGGAGGGCACAGAGTGAGTTGAAGATGAAGGGGTGATATCTGGAAAATAAAATTAAGGGATGAGAGAGGATTATACTGGGAGAAGGAGAAAGGGAGAAATAGAATGAGATAAAATATCTCACATGAAACAGACAAGAAAAGACTTTTACAGTGGAGGGGAAATGGGGGAAGGTGAGAGGGAATGAGTGAATCTCATTCTCATAGGATTTGGCTTAAGGAGGGAATAACATACACAATGGGGTATGGAAATCTATCTTATCCTACTGGATAGTAAGGTGGGAAGGGGACAAGAGAGCAAGGGGTTGATAGAGGGGAGGGCAGATTGGGGGAGGGGATAATCAAAAACAAACACTTCTGAGGAGAGACAGCCTCAAAGGAGAGAATAGAATAAATGGGGGGCAGGATAGGATGAAGGGAAATATACTTCGTTTTTCACAACAGGACGACTATGGAAGTGTTTTACATGACTACATATCTATAACCTGTACAAAGATGCTTGCCTTTTCAAAGAGAGTGGGTGGGGAGGGAGGAAAGGAGAAAATTTGTAACCCAAAGTTTTAAAAACACATGTTAAAAATAAAAAAAAAAAAAGAACAGGGAAATGCCATACTTTTCTAATCCACAAAATGCCTTAAGAGTGGAACAGATTTCTGAAGAGTCAGAAGACTTCCTTGCCAAATAGTATACGCATGTCTATCAGAGCGATAATCTAGGTGTTACCAAGATTAAGGTGTTAGAAATTTGGTCACATGATCTATCTCTGATGCACATTAATACTAGTGAGCTCATGGCTGTGGTGAGGTTGACGGATTCATGTGAACTTAATGCTTGTTTGTGAGACATGAAGAAAAATAAGGTGGTGTGGTAATAGGTGAAGGAAAAGCACAGATTTGCTGGAGTGTAGACATTTTTTATATATTTATGTAGGAAGTACTAGTATGAGTGCCTGTCTCCAGAAATTATTCTTACATATTTTGTATTTAACTTGCATGTATGTCCAATAGAATAGAATGAAAACTACTTGAAGATAGGGACTTTTTTTTATTCTCTTTGATTAGATGGTATCTGGCTACATAGTAGGCACTTAAATTCTTGTTCAGTTACATTGGATTAAACTAAACCACTACCAGGGGTGAGGAACCTGTGGCCTCGAGGCTGCATGTGGCTTTTTAGGTCCTTAAGTGTGGCCTTTTGACTGAGTCCAAGTTACAGAACATATTCTTTTATTAAGGAGATTTGTTCTGTGAAGTTTGGATTTAGTCAAAGGGCTGCTCTTGAAGACCTAGAGGGCCACCTATGGCCTCAAGGCCTCAGGTTCCCCTCCGCTTCACTACACATTTCAGTGTTTGCAGCATGTTTGACCTTGGATGAAGGTGGAGAGGAAGTAGTTAACTCCCCCTCATTTCAAAGTTTGTCAATAATTTGCAAATGTACTGTATTCAGAGTACTGTATAGCAGATAAGTGAATATATCATAGATATGGTGTACATAGATTAGAGCTTGTATGAAGGAGCCATCTCTAATTGTCCTGACCTATATCTTGCCACTGGACCCAGATGGCTGTGAAGGAGAAAATGAGGCTGGTGACTTTGCACAGCCCTTCCTCACACGCCTAGGAAGTGTCTGAAGCCAGATTTAAACTCAGGAACAAGAGTCTTCCTGACTCCAGGCCCAGCTCTGTATCCACTGTCCCACCTCTATGCCTGGAAAACATTCCCTTTTGATTGTTTTGAGG